TCTACTATATTAAGAATAAATACAAATTATTATACACATGTTGATGATACGGTTTTTAATATTGATAGTAATTCAGGATTAGATCATTATCATGAACATTTACAACGTCGCTTTGGTAATTTTGATGAGGATTTGCCTAGTGATAATAATAATGATAATGATAATGATATTAATAATTATACTGATACACCTACTTTTGATGATGATGATGATGATGATGAATCTGAGCCACCTACGACTACTAATACTCTCAGTCCCGCTCTCTTTCATTGTCCTGCCCCTCTTCCCCCAGTACATCCTAGGCCTAAGGTAGAACGTGTTAAAAAATCGATTGTTTGGCAATTTATGACACAAAACGAAGATAAAACACAAGCTATTTGTAATAAATGTAAACATAGATTAAATCATAAAACTGTTGGTAAATCTGGCGGGATGGGACATTTGAGTAGTCATTTAATGTCTTGTTGTAAAAATAAATTTTTGCATGCTAAAGCGGCAGCGGAAGCCAAAAAAAATGGTAACCCCCTTCTTGAAAATGTAGGAGTAGGCTGCCCTAACATGATACAAACACAATTAAATCCGTTTAATATTTCTGCCTCTAGTTTACGACTTTTATATAGTAGAGAAAAAGATCTTGAAGAACTAGCTAAAATGATATGTGTTATGGGTTTGCCATTTAGTTTTGCTGAAAATCCCGGTTTTATACATTATATTCAAATTGTATATAATCCAAATTTTAAAGGTTTTGCTAGAAACACAATAAAAAAGGTTGTATTTGATTATCATGCACAATATTTTCAATATCTTCGTTGTTTATTTTATTTTAATACTTGTAAAATAGTTATTACTTCTTATATGGGTCGTAGTGTAAATGGTAACGATTATTTGACTGTTACTGCGCATTGGATTGATGAAAATTGGTAAATGCAAAAAAGAATTTTAGGTTATAAATGTAGTCAAATGCAAAAAACCGGTAGTTATATTGCTCAAACTATTTTAGATATTTTACAAAGTTATGGATTATGTGATAAAATAAGTAGTATAACCTTAGATAATGTTCAAGTAATAATGTTGCTGTTGAATATTTAAATCCTACACTTTGTCCTTTCTATGGTGATAATTATCATATTAGGTGTACTGCACATATATATAATTTGATGGTTAGAGATGGTGTACATATGTATGATAACGGATGTACGAAAGTTGTCATTTAATATTTAAATGTCAAGTTAAGTCTAGGCGTAAAGATTTTCAAAATCTCTGTTTTGAAAATAATCTTCCACCTAGAAAAATTTCAAAAACAGTGGCTACTAGATAGAATACTTTATATGAAATGCTTGTAGTCACTTATGAATATCGAATACCCTTACAAATGGTTTGGAATGCTCATAATTGTGATATGACATATAGACTAGATGATAATGATTGGCGTGACAGAAATGAACTTATAGATTTCCCAAAAGTTTTTCACTTAACTACAAAAAGAATATCTGTACTTTATAATGCATCAATTTGTACTGTTTTGCCTGATATTTGTATGATTTCTTCTAAATTATATAAATTTAAAAATAAACCAAGTTTTCAACAAACCATTGAAAAAATGATTCTAAAATTTAAAAAATATTATATTCCTATTCCTCAAATTTATTTAACTGCATGTTTGTTAAACCCTAAGTATAAAGATGTAGGTGCATCAAAAATGGTTGAAAAAATGTACTTTAACTTAGATATTAATGATTTATTAGAAGAAATTCTTCGTTGTAAACAAGTTAAAGATAGCATAAAAATTGAAGCTAGAAATTAATGCTAATATAAATTTATTAAGTGAAAATGAACCTCAAAGCTCTAGGAGTAGATTTGATGAAAATAATATTGATGATTATTTACAGGATTATCTTGAACTTTCTCACGATAATAGAAATGATTTTGATGTCTATGTTAATCAAAATACATAACCTACTGAAGATATCCGAGCATGGTGGAGAAATCGCGGCAAAGGATTTCCAAAACTAGTACTGATGGCTCGAGATATATTAGCAATGCAAGCGTTGTCGGTAGCTTCGGAAGGCGTCTTTAGTGCGGCAAGTTTCAACTTGGAGAAGATAGGCTCACTAGCAGCCGATAGCTTGGAGATAACAGTATTATTTCGAGATTGGATTAATGCCGAGAGAAGAAATTTGGGTCGTGAACCACTACCGACCAAATTTCAAGATGACGTTGATGAAGTAATGCAGGATTATAGTGACGACTGGATTGAAGCAGGAAGATATTTCTATTCAACCAATTTCTGAACATGTTACTAATGAAATGTTGAATGATTTACGAAGGGATTTATATGGTGGCACCAACTATTAGTAAAAGTGTGATAATTCGAGATTTAATTCAAACAGAACTCATCCTAGAAAGTGGTTGTGTAGATTAAATATTTTAATACTCTACTAATATTTTTGTAAATGTATTTGTAATATCAAATAAATATTAATAAAAATATAGGTTATTCGCCTTAATTTGTTTTTTAATATTGTTATATTAAATTTAATTTTTAATATTGTCAATTTGAATTTTATAACTTTAAAATTTGAATTTAAAATTTTCAAACTTTTAAAGCTTGAATTTAAATATTTCAAACTTTAAAAGTTTGAATTTAAAATTTTCAAACTTTAAGAGTTTGAAATTTAAATTTTATAATTTTAAATTTTAAATTTGAATTTTCAAACTTTAAAAGTTTGAATTTAAAAATTTCAAACTTTAAAGTTTGAATTCAAAATTTCCAAACATTAAAGTTTATAAAATTTAAATTTGAAACTTTAAAAGTTTGAAAATTTCAAATTTAAACTTTAAAGTTTAAATTTAAAAATTTCAAACTTTAAGAGTTTGAAATTTAAATTTTATAACTTTAAAGTTTGAAATTTTTTATTTTTTTTTAACTTTTAAAGTTTGAAAATAAATAAAGATTTCAAGGTGGTGACATCAAACAAGAGTTTATAGGTTGTAAGATGTAAGTTTTATACTTTATTGGGTTGTTTGTGATTTCTCCGAGGAAGAAAGGTTGGAGATAACCTTTAAAAAAATAGGAAAATCTATTGAAAATAATAGATGTGAGACTGTCGGATTCTTAATAAAATTCAAAAAAATCCTAGAAGTTTGGTGGTAGATGTCATTTTCATGGTTCACAAAAAATTTGGTTATAGAAAAGCGTGGTGTGGACGTCAACACACGTTTGAATTGGTGTATGGTAACTTTAAGAAATTATTTAGTGACCTAGCTAAATTTTTTACGGCTTTTTAACACTTTATCCATGAAACAATTGTGGAACGAAAACAAGAAGAGCCTATGAGTTCACTAGAAGTAAAAACTTTTAAATTTATATTTTGGGATTTTAAGTCATGCATAATGGATTTCGAACATGTCGCTCTGTTATTTCAGTAGATGGAACTCAAATATAGAGAAAATATGAGATCAAATTATTGATTGTTGTTGGAATTGATGGAAATGATAATATTCTTCCTCCAGCGTTTGCTATTGTAGACAAAGAAATATTGACTAATTTGCAGGAGTTGCGCCGATTTCAGAAGCCTCAAGTCTTCCATCGATATTGTATAAGGCATCTTAAGAGCAACTTTCGATCTCAATTTTAAAACAAGGATCTTAGTAGGCTGATGTAGAGGAATGCTTCAGCCCATCAAGTAAGAAAATTTGAATCCTTGATTTGAAAATTTAGAGAAGAAAATGAAAAAGCATATGAATATCTCATGGAAATCCCCTTGGACAAATGGACTGTTAGCCATGATAGTGAAAAAAAATGGGGAGTGTTGACAACAAATTTTTCAGAGTCGTTCAATGGAGTCTTGAAAAAAGCACGAGGTTTTTCAGTCACTGCTATGGTTAAACTTTCAGTAGAACTATTGAGCGATACACTCAAAGGTCTCAAAAAGCGCAATAACTTCTATAATAAGATAAATTGTGGACCGAAAGGTTCAAAATGAAGTGGGAGAAGAACTATGAAATTTTAAAAAAACACTATTTTTATTGGAATATACCCACTGGGGTATATGAGGTTAGGTCTATACAAGTTGATGGTACCGGTGGTAATCCTCATTGTGTTTCACTTAATGAAAAATAATGTGATTGTGAAAAATGAGTTAATTTGCATTTCTCATGTTCACATATCACGAAGGTCACTGATAGAACCGGAGGTCTAGCTAGAAACTTTGTTAGTTAACATTTATAACATATTATGGGTCCTTCTCACTGGTTATCCATAAGGCGAATTGATCATCTCCTAATTTTAGAATAGAAAGTAATGAATTCTATCATCATCTCGATCGATCAAAAACAACTAGAATACCCAATGAGATGGATCCTGGTGTTGTTGTATATGAGCGAGCTTGTGGATTATGTAAACAAATCGGACATGATAGGCGTCGATGTCCATATCATAATTAAGTTTGAGTTGGACAATTTTTTATTAGCGTAATTGTGTTAATTCCAATTGTAAGTCCATGTATAATTATGATAATTTTCTTTCAGTTAGCTATTGTAACATATTTCAAATAATAATTAAACTTTTATATATAGTTTTCTATTATATTCCTAAAATACTTGACTCCATCTAAGGTTAAGTGAAAAAATATTAACCACCAAAATGAAGTTCCTTACCGGAGTTTCAAAAACTAGAGTTAATTTTTACATTAGAAGAACAAAATTAGCAAAACTGTAAATATCCATATAAGAAGAATAAAAAATGAGCTCCAAGTTATCTTCTTTTTTTTTCCTATATCCAATCTGCAATAGGAATTTCAAAATGTCAAGAATTGAAGCTAATCACCATTATGAAACTAAAGTAATGCATCTTAAGAGAAAAATAGTAAACTTTTTTTACCATGTTGATTAGAGCTTAATTGGAACCACGTGATTCATTCTTTGCCTTTTTTCTTTATCAACATAGAAAGTTTGTTATCATTTTTTTTTCTTTTGGCCGTGCTGATTAACATGATGACTCCTTGAAAATTAAGACAATTTTCAATTATTCAACTAAAAAGGAACACTTATGTCAAAGAATAATGTAAAGATTTTAAAGTACCGGTCCCACAAAGCTTAGAAAAAATTGTACACTACTTCTTCACTGATGGTCCACCACTTTGGCTTGCACCTTGATTTGCATCCTCAAATCATCACCATCTACTTCATTGTTAGAATCATTCAACTCATTACCTTCTACAGGCAATGAGAAAGTTTGGGACGTTGTCAAAATGTTGAGGTTGATTATTACCAAATACATTTTCAAGTGATCAAAGACTTGGATTCCTTTATATTTGTGGAGTCTGTGGTGTAATATATATCACAGTCTCAGTGTTTGTTAGTTCATAATCCGAGGCTGCTTGGAAATCTTGTGTGACTTGATCATCTTCACTCATTTCAATAGGCTCTCGACCTCTCTCAATAGCACGTACCTTCCTACCCCAACACCACCTTTTCCTCGATGGCGAATAGGGGAATGAAAATGGTCAGACATTAGCTCGTCTCTTCTATAATTGGCTTGCACATGAATTCTATCTGCCTCTTACACATATGACAAACAATTAGATTCTTTCATCCTGCATTATTGCACAAAACCTGTAAAATTCCTCCATTAATGAGTTATCATAGAGTGATATTGCTTTATTAACCATCAAGTAAATATGACGTGTTGTCCAAAATAAATTAATTCTATGAGGGAATCGGGTGCTGAAAAGATTGAGAAACATGGAGGCCAAGTTAACCAAGTTTGTAAACCACACAAAATTAATAAGGGAATCGGATTTTCAACATGTTGATTCAATTTTCATAAAAAATGTGGCAGACCAGTAAATAAGGACACCATGGAGAGAATGAAATCATATCCACAAATTACAAATATGAAGTACAAGTTAAGCAAACGAGGAAAACTTTGATATGTATGCTAACTGGACAAATCATATCCACAAATCCACAAATATGAAGAACAAATTTTGATAGAATTCTCATGAACCAGATTCTACTAATTCAATATGCTAACTAGACAAGTTAAAGTAAAGAAAAATTAAGTTATCAAACTTACCATTGTTTCGTATGCCATCGCATTAGGAACGTAGCCTTGTTGTTATTGAGGACTCGAAATAGGATTACCAATTATAAAACGAGTAATACGTCTACACCAAATAAGGTAGGGATCATCATACTGAAGTGATCCATGAAAGATTGGTGCACTCCATACATATTGCAATATGAATTCAAAAGTGCAACCATTATGCATGCTCTAACTCCCAATCTGTGTTTGGCCTTCCTCAGTGATCGTAGTGAAAATACATAGCGTCAAATAGAAATGAAGATGATATCGCTTGTAACAATCCAAATTGCCTCATAACTCGATTGGGTAAGTGAACCTCAAAAAAATCAAAACCAAAAATTAGAATTCTATCACGCCATATATCTCCTCCAATGCGGCAATATTCGGGAAGACTCAATTATGTCAGAATATGGTTCCCAAATAAACTATAACAAAAAAGTGTTCACAATTACAATATATATGAATGTCAAGAGAAAACTAATACAACATCTTACCTGAGCTTCTATCATGGAATCAAGTGCATCCCTGAAAACTCTTAACACGTGTTTTGTGGTGTCGGTCCAACTAAAATGTGCAAACCATCTAGTAGCATGTGGACCCTAGTTAAACCAACAGGGAAAATATTCTTTGTATCTCTTTGTGCTACAATATGAGGTCTAAGGACGGTAACTCTCTTCCATGTCCAAATCTGAATATAACAGATAATTATAAACTAGATAAAATTTCAATAAATACTAAGTGTAATTATTGGGTATACCTGAAGTAGTGGTAGGAATCTAGCAATCTCATTTTGGGTACTTTCGGAGGCTTTACAAAGAAAGCAATATAGTATGCAAGGTTGCACTACCTCAAGTGTAAGACCCTACTGTAATTATATCTTCCGGCATAGGCAAGTACAAAAGCTTAAAAAACCGCTAGATGTGTCTGCCAATAGTAAACCAGCTATCATCCAAAACATATAACACCTAGTCTTCTCGTTGTCCATATCATGTGTTGCCAAGTCAGGCAACCGTGGTTGAAGTTTCAAGTGTGGATTAAGCACAGAGATCTTGAGACTACTATGTTTAAAGTCTTCAGAGTGTGTAGTAAAACCTAATAATCTTTGACAAATATTTTGTCAATCCACGACAAACCTCTGTGTCTCATACCTAACTATCGGATTATCTTTATGGGTAAGCCATACAGTATCTCCACGTCCTGCTAGGTGATTCTAGTCTCACCATCCTAAAGTGGAATGTTTGAGTCTCAGGACGCCATCTCTCAACTAGTGCGGTGATTAAACTACGATTTATAACAGCATATAATTCGGATAATTTAATCACATCTAAGACTCGTGGATGGATGGGATGTTCATTTACTAGGTCCGAAAACTTCCCATAATATTTCCTTGTGTTTAAAATCATATAATAATTCCCTATCCATATATCTCTTAACCTATGCGTGAGTTTTCAATTTAATATACACAGATCAAGTGGACCGGGATGCAATTGGTATGCATTGTTAGCAGCCATAAAATAAATACATGTACAGATGTAATTAATACAACATACTTAGAAACTTTCCTCAAATACTTCATCACCAACATTTTTAATCATAGCAATTAAAACATAATTTTTTCTATAAGAGTCGCAACTGTTGGGAAAATTGAATATCATCACTCAAATATAGTTTCAAGTACATATAATTTCGTATTCTAAAAAAACAGGAAAAAAAAGAAACTAAAATATTATTTTTTAACAAAAAGGAAAACAACAAATTTATCAACTATAAGATAAACTAAATAAATGTATGACAAAAGTACCTCAATCACAAAAAAAATCTTCTTTACCAAAGTTTTTTGATCGTTTCAAAGCAAAATTGCATACGTCTTCAAATTTTTTAAAATTTCACCTCCACTCTCTTGCAGTGTGTCTAATCTACAGTACTCAAACAAAACTCTCAAATCTCTTGTATAAAGCAAAAGAATTTCAAATTGAGTAAATATTAAGTGTTAATTATGTAAGATTAAGAAGATGGATTTTATTTTATCGCCATAATTGCAACCTGAAGGTGGGTTAGGAGAAAGAAGAGGATTTTCTTGGGGGGTTTTCTTTCACAATTAGTACAACTGAATTAGGTTTTTTTTGTTCTGGGATAGGATTAAAAGATATATGCTTAAAACGTTATTCCCAATAACGTATTAGAGTTAAAATGTGATTCCCAGGTACGTATTATTATTTAACGCCGTTAGCGGTCCGTGCCTTTTCTCATTAATTTTTTCAAAATAAATTAAACCATAAAATGTTACTGTGAACCACATTTATATTAGTTTTGTAAAAAAATTTAAGAACATATTATTTCGATGAATTGATTTATACAATGACTTATTTTGGTCGAAAATTCTACAATGCTCATCCAAATATCTATCAAAAGAGTGTTCCATTTCTCTTTAATTAAATTTGGACATTTTCTTTTTGAATTATTTTCTTTTAACAAAATTATTTGATTATACATTATACTTAAATTAGGAAGTCACAACTTACCAACTTGATAGTAAGCTCGTAAAATAAAACTTTAAATTTTACTACTATTTCCGTTTATTTTAATTGTCATGATTTTTTAGAGTCAAATGATAATAACTTTGACTAATATTTTACGATATATTTTTCATCATATTGATATGTATAAAATTGAAATTTATAGTATTTTTCATATAGTTTTGAATATCGAATTTTTTAAAAAAAATTGTTGAGATGATCATAGAGAAAGGCTAATTAGACTATAAGCTGAAAATGTACAGCTGGCATTCTGTTATAACAGAACGTCCACTAGTTAATTAGAATGTTAATTGATTACTTAAATGTAGTTAGTCTATAAATACTAGCTAGTGCTCAACATGCAAATATCATTTTGTATTCATTATTTTCTATCAATATAACAAATAGTTATTTACTCTCTCTGTGTTAGCTCTATTATTGACCTAGAAGATCTCAAATTTACTCTCCAATGGTGAATTTATCATGGTATCATAGAACTAGGTTAGCTTAATAAGAGCTTAAGAACTGCGTATTAAAGTTTTTTTTTAAAGTTCTTCTTAGATCAGCAATACCGGAACTAGAGATTATAGATCCAGATATCCATTTTGTTTGTTGCCATCATACAATCCTGGTAATGTAATAATCTCGATTCAGATCAATGGATCAAAGAACTATTCGATTTGGAGCAGAGCAATGAAGATTGCGTTGATAAGCAAACAAAAATTGGGTTTCATTGATGGAAGATGCAAAAATTGTCTGTATAAAGATGATTTAGCAGAGGAATGGGAAAAGTGAATGCAACAATTTTGACCTGGATTATGAATACAGTTTCGAAAGAGTTAGTGAATGGTATAGTGTATGCAAAAGATGCTCATGATGTGTGGATGGATCTGCAAGAGTGATTTCATAAAGTAAATGGATCGAGAATCTATAATCTTAATAGAGAAATTGCTACAGTTTCTTAGGTAACATATGATATCTCTGGGATATCATTCACGTTTGCGATTGTTGTGGGATGAATATTGTTCATTAGTGCCAACAATATCTGGATGTATTGGATCAAAAATTTTAAAATACATCTAGAGCAACATAAATTTTTCACTTCATGATGGGATTTAATGAGTCTTACAATGCTATTAGGAGTCAGATTTTACTTATGACACTATCTCCCTCTGTTAGCCAAGCTCATGTTATGCTTGTGCATGAGGAGAGTAAAAGAAAGATCTGTGAGTCTAACTCATATACACGAAATGAGTTAAGTGAGAGTGCAACCCTAATGAGTATTCATGATAATCAGTCGAGAGCTATGAGGTTTAACAATTACAATAACTATGGGAACTATAGTGATGGTAACAACTAGAACAACTCATTTTGTGATATTTGTAAGAGAAAAGGCCACAATTAAGGTATATGTTATAGAGTGATAGGTTACCACCAGGTTACAAAGGCAAGAAGAAACATTAATCAAACTTGGTAATAAGGTCATGGGAGAGAATAATTGGGATAAATCACAAAGACAACAACCAAATATGGTTGTACATGTATATGCAAGTGAGAAGGAAGATGCTTATCAACAGAGAGAAATCCCTGAAAGTAATAATCAGAGAGCCAATATCACTTAGACTTCTGGAAGTAGTAACACTACTCAAACATCCCAACATCATGCAAGAGTTGAGCCTAATAATCATAGCAAACATGGAAACAGAGGGCAGAATTACTTCACTGATGAGCAATACAATTAGATAATGCACATGCTTGATAAAGGCAAAGAAGTAGGGATGACAAGAAGCATGGATGATAATGCTACTAATAACTCCTCACCTATGCAGATGTGTGAACCTTCATGGATAATTGATAGTAGAGCAACAGATCATATGACAAATTACTTGAAATTGCTGAATAATTTGAATACATTGTAAGACAATGGTTTTAAAGGATCAAGGAAAATGTAACATTTCATGTGATCATACCATTGATAGTGTGTTGTATGTGCCTGATTTCAATTACAATTTGATGTCAATCTCTAAGATGACTAGAGAATTTCAATGTTCAGTGCTTTTCATTCCTACTTTTGTGTTTTTCAGGACCTATATACTGGAAAAGTGAGTGGATTGGTAAAGAGTAAGGTGGTATGCATCTTTTATTTCAAAAAAGCTTTAACGAGGTTATTGATGAAAGGAGAAGAATTAGCAGTCATGTTGCACAAAAATTACCTGAACATATACAAGTTTGCCATAAAATACTTGGTCATATACCAGCTGCAGTTATGAACAAGTTATTTTTCTTAAAATAAAGTGTCACTTTGTAGTTTAAATTATTGTACGGTCTGTCCACTAGCTAGACAGACTAGAAAACCTTTTTCACTTAGTACTTCCAGCACAACTGAAGTCTTTCATTTACTTCATATAGACATATGGGGTCCTTATAAAATTCTCACAGTTATTGGTCATAGATTTTTTCTTATAATTGTGGATGATCATTCAAAAATGATATGGGTATTTTTGATGAAATTCAAAAGTGATTCTGTTGTTCTGTTTATTTCCATTGTTAAAATGGTTAATGTTCAATTTGAAAAGCAAGTAAAGATGATCAAGACAAATGATGAGTTTGAATTTTTCAGTAAAGAATTTTTTAATTTTCTAATTCATAGTGGTATTGGGCATCAAAGTAGTTTTCCCCCACACTCCACAATAAAATTGAATGGTAGAGAGGAGACATAGACATATCTAGGAAGTGGCAAGGACTCTTAGGTTTCAAGGCAGCATACTTCTTTCATTCTCGGGAGATTGTGTATTAGCAACAGTGTATCTCATTAATAGATTGTCATCAGTTGTCTTAGATGGAAAGTCTCTCTATGAAGTGTTTCATGGAATCACTCCATGCTTGCATTACCTCAGGGTTCTTGGTTGTCTTTGTTTTGCTACTATCACAGCGAAAACAGATAAATTTTCACCAAGAGCAATTTCAATAGTTCAAATGGGTTACTCTACTACAAAAGGCTTATAGACTGTATGATTTCAAGTCCAGGAAATTTTTTGTTAGCAGGGATTTTACCTTCAAGGAACATGTATTTCATTTCTTTTTAATGAAAAGGAGAAATGACACTAACCTAGTTGAATTATAGTTGCTTGTACCAACTGAATTACCTCCCATTCCACAACTTAATCCTGCTCCCTCCATAGTACCATCTCAACCACAGTTGAGAGAGTCTACTAGATGGTCGAAGCCTCCAAATTAGCTTCAGGACTTCATTCATCTAGTGAAAGGGAATGTTGCTCGTGCTTATTCTATATCCAAGTTTGTGAATTATTCCTCTCTTTCTTATAACTGTCATTCCTTTTTAGCTGATGTTTCTTCTAAAAAGTTGAGCCTACATCTTATGAAGAAGCTTTAAATAATCCAATTTTCATCCATTCAATAAGAAATTGAGACCTTAGTTCAAAACCAAACTTGGAAGTTGTTTCACTACCTAAAGGAAAGATGCATATTGGATGTAGATGGGTATACAAGATCAAATATCTGTTTAATGGGGAGGTTGAGATATTCAAATCTAGAGTTTTTTCTAAGGTATACAACCAATAAGAAGTCTTGGATTATCAAGAAACTTTTTATCATGTAGTTAAGATGGTAACTGTGAGAGTCGTTATTGCATTAGTTGCTATGAACCAATGGTCCCTATTTCAAATGGATGTATATAATGCTTTCCTATAGGGTGATCTTGAAGAAAAGGTGTATATGAAGTTCCCTCCAGGATTTGGTAGCCAAGGGGGGCATCAGGCATGCAGACTCCTCAAATCCATATATGGTCTTAAACAAACATTTAGACAGTAGAACCTAAAGCTCACAAATGCCTTATTATCCGATGAATTGTACAGAGTCAACAGGACCACCTTATTTATTTTAAAGAGACATTCTAAGGAGGTGATCATTCTTGTCTATGTTGATGATTTTTTAATTACTAGAGATGACAAAGAACTCATACAAGAGGCAAAAAATGTGTTACATGCATCCTTCAAGATTAAAGATCTTGGACCATTGAAGTATTTCCTAGGAATAGAGATATAAAGATCTCAAAAAGGAATTTTGTTGTGCCAAAGGAAATATGCCTTAGAACTTATAGTTGAGGTTGGTTTAGGTGGCTGCTGATACGCTCAAATTTACTTCTCTAAACGAAGTAAAAGCGGTCACATCAAGTAAAGAACCCTACTAGTAAGGTTGGGATCGTTCCCACGAGGAAAATGGTTCAGACTTAACTTTATTCTATTATTACTTCTATTTAGTCAAATATTTCCCGAAAACAAATAACTAAAGAGGGGTTTTGATCAATGAAAGCAATTAGCTAAAATAAAGTAAACAAGTGACAGGTTCAAGTATTGGAGTTTAATCAAGTAATGAGAGTAACTAGGGCATAAGTGTTCCCCACAAGCTCCTAACTCGGTAATTCTAGTATCTTGCATGCAAAGTGATAAGTTAGGTATCTCTAAATTCTTGGTACGACATCTAGAGATTTCACTCCGTACCTTGGTCCGGTTACGTGTGTTGCTTTACTTAACCTTATCTTTACCTCATATTAAGCATCATATTTGATATTTGACTAAGTT